TACGGCTGTATGCGTGTAAATAAGTACATTATTTTGCGTGTGTATTCGGGAAAAGGTTCGATGTCCGCCTTAGGCGCCTAGAATTTTAAAATCTAAAAATACACAGTCTGGACGACTAATTACAAGAAAACGAAATAGAAGGCCTTACTGCCAAAATATATTATTCCTAACCTCAAGGTTTTGCACAGAACAACTACAGCTGCGTAGCACTTACTATATAATACTTATTAGTTCACTAGTTATTTATTGTACCTCGAATTATACATGTAAATTATATGAAACGAAATATTTACCTTTCCATTTGTACAAATAATAACTAAATAAGCCAGAATTTGTTAAATCAATTATCAAATCAAACAGTCCTTCAACCAAGACCTGCTGAGATTTATTATTTTTTGCAATTAGCAAATATACCCACAAGGAAAGACGTCATACCTAGGGGAGACCTTACGTAACTTTATCTTATATTTTTTCTGCTACATCGGCTAGATTTCATTAATAAAAGACACGTGCAGTACTTAGTTATTGAAGAGAAGTCGGGATGATGGCCAGTTTCTTGGAAAATTAGGTTCCCCATTCATGAAGTCTTACCAATTAAGAGTACTTAGGTTAAAATATAGCTGTACCACGCCATAGACTAAACTGTGAGTAAAATAGACCCAGCAGACAAAGAATCTGCTGCTTTTTATTTTTTTCTGTAAAAATAAATCCAACTAGACGCCATGCTGATAAATATAGCTATTAATGAAGAGTTCAGTGAGCGTCCTTCTGGTGCAATGTGTTCTCGATACATTGGCGGTTTCCAATATTGACACAAAGAAAAGGATATCCACCCCGTAGGTATTTTATCAAGCAGTAGAATACAAACAAAACAAGTGAGTCATAAGTTCATTGATTCAAATCTTTTGCGTGTCTGGCAAGACGTAAATATATATAAACGTAAAAGCCCTAGTTTCAGATGGTTGGAATAGTAGCTCACATATGGCATATTCCCTCGATAAAATTCTTATTCTCAGACCCAAGACTACAGGCGCCAATGCGCTTATATCCTCTAAACATGTTTCACTCAGTCGATTATTAAAGACTGAAATTGAAAATGTTTGTTCTTCAGTTTCATATGACTAGTCCATCAAAAGTTATGAAAATCATTCAGAAAACATATCCTGAAACTGTCGGAGAAATATTTTTTACAAATTCACAGAAATTAGTATTTTTCAAATTATTTATTTCACTGGGAAATTCTTCTTATCATACTGCCAAGTAATTACAAAAAACTTGGCCCACAAAAATAAAACTAATTTGTAAACAACCTGTTTGCAAGTCGCATTTCTATCTATTCTTTATATAAAGTAGGTACGTATAATTAATTAGGATGTTTCAATTAAAGAGCTCAAAATAAATTGAAGATATTCATAAAGTTTAACTAAAAAATTTGGGAACAATTTAAAGCAACGTAAATATAAATCGTAGGATTTTACAACGTGAAAATTCAAAATTTATCGACTCATTTTATTACATTCCTTCGTAATAATAACTGATTGCAAAATTATCCCATTGATTTTTCCTGTTTATATTTATGCACACTCAATTCAATAGCACCCACTGCTATTCACCATTCATACAAATAGCTTTAAAATTTAAAAAGTGAATGTATACTACGCCCGTGCAAATAGAATTAGGTATTAAAAATAGGTTCATAGGCATACAAGAATTTCCATGCACGTATAAATCACAAACTGATGCAGTATTACACGTTAAATATATTACAAATATCGGTACCATAGAGGATTGGTCAAGTGCGTATATATAGACTTCCCAGTATTCATTCATTATATTATATGGCGCCATGCAGATACAAAAATAAAACTTTCGCCATGTTTACAGGTAAATAAATCTAATAGTAGACATAAATGCGACCGAGTTAATTTTGAAATAATGTATTACATAAATAAAATGCAGCAAGTCACTAGCAAAACGTACTTTCGGTGTCTGCCTTAACATATTCGGATTTCTGAATACTACAAAAATACAACCTTTCAAGGGGATATCAACTGAAATAAACTTTAATTGAATTATCCTTTTGTATTTCTTCAGGTAAATAATACAAAATCAGTTGCAAAATAAAACCGAATGATGACTTATTTAAAATCTACTTTTGTTACACTGAATGGAGAAAATAGCAAACGTTTTTCTAGTGCAGAGCTGCTTTGAGAAAAAATAGGTCCTAATAACAATACGACAGTTACTCCACTTACATCTACCGTAGAACCGCAAGGCTTTCTGAATATCTGTTTCGTCAGTGGAACGTAATCGTGAATTTGAGTATTACAACATAAAGGAGAGACATTCACACTGACAGAATTTGACACGCTGATACTTTGCAAAAATGCCAAACAATGGTCTTTAATTCAAATAACATATCTTCCAATTAATTAAGAAAAGTTAATAAAAAAAAACATATTTACATTTATTAAGTGATTTTAAGAAAAATAGTTCGTGTTTTGTCGGAACGTGTGTCCATTTTCATATGAACTTATAGATCAGTGCTTATTTCCATGCACATGTGAAAGCAAAACGAGCTTCTCATCTTTAAAAACGAACATCTCGGGTTACCAGAGGCAGCAAGAGCATCGGAATCTTCTCGTCATAAATGTGGCCGAAGACTACTCAACACAGAACCGGCTTTAAAATAAGCAAGTTTAAAACATTCAAAACATACCCATAAGAAAAAAGAAAATTTTTAGGTACGTCCAATAAAATCGAAAACACCCAGTATCCTCTATTTAAAATACGAATGATGCGATTAAACCAACTACCGTTTACTTTTAAAATTTATACGTGTCCATAAATAACAATAGTCTAAATTAAGAAAAGGAAAACAGCATTATATAAACACACATAATTTAAAACAAAACTTCATTGAACGTGAGTTCATTCACAAGTTCACAACACTGTATCGCCACAGGTAATATTGGAAAAATAAGATTAGTTTATATTTTTACTGTCTTCCTGTCCAGAAATAAGTCAAGAAACCTTTACCACATTTATAAAATTTAATACCTGACAATGTCTTCAAGACTTAAAATAGGTATACGAAATATAACCGTTACCTTGTACCTTGTGAAAATATAATGAGATTTTTGCTTAATATAGGTCAAGGAATTTTTAAAATGGTTCCAATTGTAATAACTGAAGGAAAACTAATTTTAAACGAAAGAGATAAAATAGAAAAACCAAAAACACCTTATGAAAATATATAAGTCGGTTCAAATTTAATCAGGAAGCCGATATTGACAAATAAAGTGGTACAGTTGTAAATATTTTTGAATATTATTGTCATAACTGTAAAAATAAATAAAATACGGATCAACTCACGCGTCATCTTATACAAAATATGAAATGTTGATTATTTTATTGAAAAGTAAGAAATATAGTCACGCTTTTTAACGATACAATTGCAAAATAAAAATAATAATTTCTAATGCGCGAAAATTTCTGTACCCGAAATTAATCGTGTAGGTGTTTGGATATTAAATTTTTATCTTATCAGTTGATAAGAACTGTAATTATGAAGGAATATAAAAAAATCAATGAACCAGTAAATATCTAGCCATTTTGTAAAACCGAATATATGCCGTTTCTTCTTTATGATACTTTAACTTGGTTTTTACATTTTTTAAGACCTGTGCACTTTTTGATAAAAGAAATGAATTATTTCTCGTCTGCAGCAAATGCTAAGTAAAATAGAAGTCCTATGAGAAATATACACGACGAAATGGATCCCCCTAATTTTTAAAAGAACAAAAAGATACGTAGAAAAATTATTTCGAAGTTCAAACAGAATAAATAAAATGGGTGTGCACCGAAACTAAACGTTTACTTCAACTTGGCGAAATTGAAACCAGTTATTTAATATAATTAACAATGAAAGTCGGTGGTTTTCCTCGTGAATACAAAGCAAATGCTACACCTAAATTAAAGACTTACCCAATCTGCATTGTATGCAATATTTTATTTTATTGCGCACAATGATTTTTCTTTCAAAATCCGTTGATATGCATACTAAGATCTAGATACAGCTATTAGAGAAACAGAATAGCAGATCATTTCGAATCTGTACAAATAATTTTATGGCTGGAATACCGACCCAATTTGTTCAAAATAAATAAACAAAGCTCAATAATCTAAGAAAAACAGGTTACAAAATTTGATAAATATCTGTAGTCTATAAACCAAAGTATAACCAAATGTGAAAATTTAGATTTTCCAAGTCATTTTATATATTTGTAAACAGTGTCATTTTAGTCTCAATTCATCCAGTGTTAACAACTGATAAGTAAAATATTAATTTACATGTCAATTCAAATTTGTAAAATCTATTAAGTATCTAAATCGTTAATGAACCTGTAATGCGATGATTACAAATAATAATAATAATAATAGTATTTGAATAGGTAACTACAGAAGTAAGTAAACTCAAAACACTGTTCCGCAAAAATTGCGGAAATGGAAGATACCTACGTATTTAAATTAAATAGGTCTTTCGGATAATTTCCATTAAAAAATCTGTGAATCTAAATTCAGTTTGTATGATTTTTAAAAATAATATTGTTGTTTTTGCAAATAAGAATATTTAGATTTTAACATACGTTAGACCAAAAAGTATAATTTTTTAAATGTATTTTATTTGCTGAATGCGATTAAGATTGTCTGAAAATGTTGATTGTGGTAAACTTTTAGAATTAAGTATTATTTTGGTATCTTTGTCAGTTTGAATGACTATTTTTGTTTTTAGAGGTATTTAAATTACTGAGAGAATGTAATTTAAAATAAATGTATTTTAAAAACTATACTACTAATTTAACATTTCAATAATAATGCATTATACTTGATGGTAGTGGTGTTTTGATTGATGATTAGAACGAAATAAGGTAAAGCCGGTCCTGGAGCAGACAATCTGACCTGGACAACCTGTGCTGAGTTCTTTAACAGGTACTCACTTTAAATAATACACCTGTCCCTCAGGGGTGCGAGCTTGTTCCCATCCGGGCGGCAGGGGGGTGTTGTCTTCTGTTTTGCTAGCCACATCGTACGATCTTTGTTTAATGTGATGGACTGGAGCCTGCTGCTGGCCCACGGCATAGGTCTGCTGAAGAGATGCTGGCGAACTGTGGGCTCGGTGGTGAGCGGTTTGCAAGGGTACGGAATTGACCGGAGCTGCGGCTGTCGCACCACCCCCGAAAGCAGAGTCCACGGAATTTTCGCGAGAGTGGTTAATAGATTTCGACCCCGTCGAGGGAGGGTTGAAAAAAGAGTCCGGGAGCTTTCGCATACTCCATGGCACCTGTAAAGGTCTTTTTGAATCTGGTTTCAGAACGGTGTCGAAAAGTGCCTGCAGGTCCGTTTCCGAGTCCTGGTTCACTCGAACCTCTTGTTTTGCCTCGTCCTGGTTTAGTGCCATCTTATCTTAAGGCACCGATACTACCACTGACCACAGTGTCACTCAAAAAAATCACGCAGTTCGCACTACCACAAACACCCCACTGGAAAACACTGGCTTGGTGTAGCCAGGCCACGACAGCGACTAGACTAGGACTGACCGGCCCTGTCCGCCTGTCCCCGAGATTTGAGGGACGCGGGAACAATATCCACACAGAGACAACTCAACAACGACCCCGTGTCTTGCGCTATCTTTGTACTCTACTGCTCGCCGACCGCCGAGGCTCTGCCATAGTCTGCCTGACAGATACTTGGTTTTCCTGTCTCTACGATTGCGCCCGACACACTATACCTACTATCCGCGTAAAAATCAAAATGTATACATATTTTTTTAGTACTGAAACTCCCAAACGGGGGCACCACTATCTGAATATCACTGATAACTTTATTAAAACAAAACAAACAGCCTACTATGCTATAGCCCGTATCAAATTACTAACGTCCTTGAATCGTGGGAGTTAATTCAGAAATAGTTATTGTTATTAAACTGTAGAAATTAGAAATATTCAACACTTTCCCCGATATAAATAAAATAAGGATCTGATAAAAAAGACCTCTAAAAATATTTTTTAAAATTACTGTACAGGGTGTTTCGAAAAATGATATCACAAATTCAGGGACCGATAGCAAAATTGTACTAAGATAACTTGATCTAACTCAGTTTATTTCCAAGCTACCCTTGAAGTATGGTCCATTCGTATTCGGACACCCCGTATATTACTGTACACAAGCTAGTTGACATTGAGTGTCAATTGCATTTTTCTTAAAAATCGGTGCTCTTTCAGAGGTTTCAACGAGAGTGTTTTTGTCACGTAAAACTGAATTTTGCATTGTATTCTAACATTCACTATAAAAAACCTAACCACAAAAAAATTAAGTCATAAAATGTCACTATATAGGTAAAGTCAGATGGTAAAAAATGTACCTGTAGGTGTAGGTACCTAATTTCAATACATCACTTTAGCTGTATTCTTTTAACCAATTTTAACTGAGACTAAGATACTTACTTTATCTTACATAAGTATTTGTTCCTCTTTCATTAAGAAGTTTGCTTAAAACTGAGAATAACTAAGAATTTTAGAAACCCCCTTACCCCAGCTAAATGAATCTATAAATGTATTCTTTTTAGCGTCTTTTTTTCTTCACTTCGTCTTAGCTAAGTTAGTCTCGGAAGTAAGAAAATTATTTAGTAAAAAGAGTACAACTAACATTTTGTAGGAAATGACTAAATTTTGATTTTGAAGAACTGAAGTCTTAGACGCCCTGTATTTCAAAAACAAAGGACGATAGATCTATAAAAACAAAATTGTTTTATTTTTTTATGTTCTATTAGCTCTGAATCTATTGAGCCGATTTAAAAAACACCCTGTATAAGTGCACATCTGGGCAGCCGTTAGTGTCATACAGATATTAAGGTATCAGCAAAATTTCAAATCAATAAATGACACTTTTGATTTCCAGAATCTCAGGCAGATTATTAAGATCAAACAAGAGTACCTTTTTTATTTTTTCACAAAAAAAAATGCCAAGAAATTTTTTTTAGAACATTGTGAACAAAGAAAAAATACTCTTCCCCGAGGTTGTTGCAGTCCATAACCCATACACCTTGTAGGTTTTGCTAATTGCTCGTTTTTTGTGGTAGGTATATGGAACTAGAAGTCATTTAACATATGGTATATAATATCCTACACTTTTATACGATAATGGTATGAGCTCATTAATTTGTTGGGTGAACTGATCTTTTGAAAAATAAAAATACGATTATTGAACTAAACAAAATTTATTTGATCAATTTTTTTTGTAAATACTAATACTGTTTAAAGTACAAAAATTGAAGATAGAAGTTTCTTAAATCTGAAACTAGTACGAGTATTAAATATAACATTAGATATAAAAAAAGTCACATTTTTTTAATAACACATTGAATAGGTCATAATTAATTAAATAAATAATATCAGTTCTGTTACTATAAAAGTATTTTTCAATTTTTTTTTTTTCTTTTGAGCTACCACTTACAAAGTATTTTGTGGTAGACTGATCTCGAATGCAGTGATATGTGGGAATAAGGACAAGGGGACAAGAAAAGACGACCTGAAGAGCTATAACAAATGTTTATTTTAAATGAATGACATGGGCTACAACTATAACGATGAACCACACACTCAGATTAACACACACACTCGACTGAGATCTGAATGTAGAATAATGCACAAAACCCTTGGCCTATCTAACATTCAAAGTTTAGAGAAAAATACTTATGACAAAAAAATATCACCATTTACCCTGTGCAAGTCTCTGTTGTTGTCAAAATGCAAGTGACCAACTGTACTCAAGCGGACAGACTTGCTAGGTACTAGCTGAACATATGGTACAGGTACACAACATGAAAACACAGTGACGGAAACCAATCAGAATCCTCCTAAATACGGAGGGTAGCCAGGCGGATGTGTAGGCGTGGGTTGAGGGTAACTGTAGTATGGATAATTTGGACTGGGTACATGCAGGCCAGGCCCGTAACTTTGAGCATATGGTAACTGGGGATATCCGAGGGGCATTGGTTCATAGTGGCCGCTCCAGGTAGGGGTAGGATACAGAGGATATCCTGAACTTGGAGGATAATTATAAGGAACGGGGCTAGCCCTCGATGAAGATGACATATTGTAATTATTAAACTGGCCGGCATATTGGTCAGGTGCTTCACCAAGTGGTGCTTCTCCTTCGGTTATACTGGGAATTTGATCAACTAAAGATTCGAGCCCTGATAAGCTTTTGGAAGCAATATCTTGTGTCTGTCGGGGGGATGGATACTGAGGCTCTGGTTGATGGGGTGGGTCCATATTGTAAGACTGATAATGATAGTGTGCCTGTTCACTGTTGGTTGAAGGGGCAGGACTGCCTAAACGACATTCTGCTTCTTCGGCCATACTTGTCGGTGGTTCGAAATCTGGCGGACCTATGGGAGATGCTGGCGACCCCAATTGTTCAGAACTTATAGCTGCGCTAATTTCCGAACTGAGATCTGAATGAGTAAAAGGTTGGGAATGGGGTCTAGGGGACTGGCTGTAAGGTGGTCTGGGGGACTGACTGTATGGTGGTCTTGGAGACTGACTGTATTGTGGCCTAGGCGAATTGCTGTACGGTGGCCTAGGCGACTGACTGTATTGTGGTCTCGGAGACTGGTTATATGACTGTGGTTGAGGGGCATATAAATTGCTTGAACTATTGGGAGGTGTGATAGCGGGGCCCATTTGATAAAAATTATTAGGAGACTGTATAGGTGACGGATTGGAATAACACTGAGACATGTTGGTCGATGTATTGTTGTCCGGTTGATTTAAATCCATATTTTCAACTTTAACCTTTTTAGGCCGGCCTCTTTTCTTCTTTGGAAAATCACAGTTATTATTCTGGGTTGCCGGAGGTTTCCTCACAACGGGCTTTGGAGGTGGCTCTTCACCTTCAACCTTAATTTTCTTCGGTCGACCACGCTTTTTTTTACAAGGTATAATAGTACCATCCTCATTTTGAATCACAGCATTACTAATGTCGGTGAGTTCCGGTGAAAACAGATCTGGCTTTGGTTCTGCTTCATAACAAGACTTTACCCTTGGCTCCGAAAATACCATTTCGTTTTCATCAATTTCAGTTATTAAACCGTTTAGGTAGTCTCGAAACTTCTTTAAAGCTGCATAAAATGGTACTTTATCTGCTGCTCGGGGAAGCTGAGCACATCTTGCACTAGAAGATGGCATGACCCACATGTGCTGCAATTAAAAGTCAAGTTGAACAACAGTATAAATAAATCCCCAAACCCAAGTGATTTTATGTCTAAGAAGGAATCCACCTAAAGCGGTGTGCAGAAAAAATCCATAAAAGTTGCGTTATAAAACATTTTAACAATGAGCAAAGAATCAAATTTAACTGCAATCCTCTAGATTTCTCTAATCTCAAATTTGCACCTTAAGATAACATATTGTAATGACAAAGAAGTCATTGAAATACTTACTACTTAAAATTTTTGATATCCAAAATAGAACACAAACTGTGTCAAATAAAATTACAATTATTTAATTTAAAGAATTAACAATTACTCACTGTATTTGTTCCTTCCACTACATCTGGTTGTCGCCCAAATTTGAAATCTTTCTTCCCCGAAAAAACTTCATAAATAAGTTTACCATTAAATACTGCTATTTTAGGTCTAAATTTTCTCAATTTTTCTAACAAAATTTGACTACCTTCCTTAATTTCTTTACGTGTTAAGTCTGCACTACCTTTTGTAGCGCGCTGAACCATATTTGTAAATCCTATTCCTACTTGCAGTAACTTATAGTCTTCGTCAGCAGACATCTGTTGTGGCGTTAATCCTGACAAATACAAACATTTCCAAAAATGGTTCCCAGGTCCTGCATAGTGATGTCCCTTGTAGGCCGCAAATAACCCAGGATTAATCCCAATCTGTAAGCGACATTGCATTTTAGACATATGTCATTGAGTAGAACGAAAATTAGCTTACTATAATAATATCTAAATTTTCAGTAAGATGATCGGGCAAAGTTCGTTTGGAGACCTCCTCTTCAGGCATTCCATTAAATCGATCATGTTTTTTCCGTTCTTTTATAGGCCGTGGAATCCCTCCGTTCATATCTTGATTAAATTCAGGCCTATCAAAATTGAGATTGTTTAGAAATTAAAAAATGCTGTAAACATAAACACAAATAATAGTATTTTCCAAAAAAGGATGAACAAATACTAATACTGTTAAATAATCAATTAAAAAATTAATATCGTTAAAAATTGAATGCACTGAAGATGAATTATGTTATTTTGTAGAGCAAATTCTAATATAATATATATCTACAGGGTGTCCAGAAATTATGAGCAAAACATTTAGAAAATGATTCCACCATGTACTTATTAGTTCCTATAACACTTTTTCGAAATTATTACTATTTTTTAGTATCTGGCTATACCTTTTCGTTCAGTTAAGTGAATTTTTTCAAGTTTGATACACTAATTAAGTACTCACAATAAATCGCATCTACGAAAATAAAATAAAATATTTCTCAAGCTTGCGGTTTCTCAAAAAACTAAATGTGTAGCTATTAAAGATCATTAAAAAATTTGCAAAAAGGTTCTCTTGTTCTAAGTCGATGACATAAACTGTTTTCAAGGAAAAATAGATTTAATGTTTCGTGATAATAATTTTTTACCATGTTTTCCTTTCAAATCCCAATACATTATTAATAATCATTCTTTAATGGATAAATAAAATTTTATGTGAGGTCATTGAACTTTATTTCTTGTTTTACAAAAATATTATAAATTTTCCATGCTGTGGTTAAATTTAATAATTTAAACAACATACAGCAAAGATGATTACGGAGAGGATTTCTAGGGTGACGTATTTTTGTAACAGAATTAATTATGGAAGTTTGTGCCACTTATTTATTATTTTGAATTGTCTTCTTTCTTGCATGTGCAGTTGTTTTTTTGGAAATACCTTTTCTATGTTAGATTATGAAAATGTCTGGTAATGCACTTCTGTTTAGTTGTTCTTATGCGCTCACTTAAATTAAGTTCTTGGTCCAATGTAACTGCGAGGTATTTTGTTGATATTTTCGTATCTGAGCATATTATATGACGAGTTCTTAACAAGTTTAAATCGATGACAAAAAATGATGATGAAATGTTGAAGTTGTGACAATATTTTGTGATCTACATCTCGTTTTCAAATCTCCAAATTTTTATTTTTTATAAATTTCATATTTTTTATAAAATAATGAATGTAATTAAAGAGGACAGAACATAATTTTCTTTTATTTTTATATCTCAGTTTACACTGCAAAAACACAAAATTTTAACCTTTTTGAGGGTCCTTCAAAACATTAAATGTTTTTTTCCAAAATGTTCAACGTTATCGACTTGAAATAAGATCATCTTTTTGAAGGATATTTTAATAGTTTTTACTTAGATTTTTTCAGAAACTACAATTAAAAGATATATTTCTAGTCAATAAAGGTCATTTTAGCCCTTTAGGGTTTTAGAGCTTCGATGATTTTATTGTTCGTAAGTGCAGTTTGTTACCAATAATAGCTGTACCAATTTGAAAAAAATTTGCTCCTCTGAAAAAAAGTTATGGCAAAATATTAATTTTTTGAGGTTATGTAACTCCATTAACCATTAATATAACTATCGAAAAACCATTAGTCTTATGAGTGCAATCACCCCTTAAATTATTTGCTCGTAGTTTCTGTACACTCTATATGTATGGTTTCTTAATTTATTTTCTTTAAATATCAATATGACGATGATCCACAAAAATAAAGCAACCTGTAACACTATATATAGTTTCCAAATATTATGCAATATTTGTATCAATATCAATATAACACAACATGGAATGATGAATGTCCGGAAGAATACTTATATATCACTTTTTATAAATTTGTAAACTACACTCATTAGAGGTCTAACTTAACTCGTAAACACGATTCTACAATGTGACTTATCAATGATTTTTATCTCTAACTGGAAAACGCGACAGCAGTACTTTTTGATTAATAAATAACTGTACAAAATAAATGTACAATCTATTTTACAACATAACTTTTTTTATAATAAAACTAAATCGTAATATATCAATTGGTCTTTTAACTTATAACTAAAATATAAATATATAACTTGTGACATTTATAAACAAAAGTGTAGTAGAGGATAGTGTTTCAACCGAAAGGTTCGGTTAAAGAACGTAAATGACAGGTACTACGCTATTGAAACTGCCTGAAGTTCTACAAGCATTAAAAACACAATGGTTCTTAATGTCGAATGAAATGAAAACTTTTTATGTGAGATATATCAATGTACAAAATAGGAAATGCTAAGTACTCACTGTTCAGGTTTAATTTTCTTTTTTCTCCCCCGTTTTTTAGGGCCGGGCATAAGTTGATTATTGATTGGGGGCATCGGATGCATAAGATGTGGGGGCCCTGGGGCCGCAGGAAGCATAGGAATTGGATCATCGTCAATAAAACTGTAGGGATCTTCCAATTTTTCACACTTCACTTCATGGTTATGTGTAACACTGGCAGTGTTTAAGAGCATATCCGCACTAGTTTCATAACCGTCATCATGGGGTTCCAGTTTCATATTTCTAAAGAAGAAAGATTTAGTTGTAAAACACACATGACACGATTCAAACAGGTACAACACTTGGAACTTACATATATTTGAGGGCGTGTTTCAAAACTATAGTGAAAACATCATGCAGGATGGATTCAAGGCCTGAAGGGATGTTCTATTATGTGCTCTTTTTAGAAATTAGGCAACACGTAAACACTGAAGGCAAACTGGTGTTGTGTAAACATATTACAGTGGTCACCAAACAGTTAAACTACTGTCTAAAGTAAAATGAAAATAGTTACAAGGCTGCAAAATATATCGAGCGTAAATAAATCGTTACCTAAAAAATATACTAGGCTCAAAAAAACTATTCCGTCAAGTGGAAGTATATAGAATTTCGAAATTATGATAAGACGAGTAAATATTTTGAAATAGACGATAAGCAATGACTAGACGATCAGGTGTAGAAATAATCGTTCGCGATATAAGTAAATAAAAATGTTTACATGCGGCGCGTGCGGGGAAATAAGCCAAGCGTACAGGGTCGCGGAGAACTACTTACAGCTTGTACTTATTTGAGAAGGTCACCGGGTGGTTGTAGGATTCATAGGACAATGGTCCAGGGCCGAGGCTGGAGACACCTGAATCCTGGCCACCTCCGCCGCCGCCCGTTTCCATTGTCGCTCCCAGTAACGTGGAGGACTCGCGAAAAAGAGTTGCCACCTGCATCGGAGATTTTACGAGCTCTCGCTCGTTATCAATTTTTAAAACTACACGCACATTACGTTTAGGTACCGCACTAGCTTTGTAAAAACCCAACAACAACCTCACCCTTTAAAAATAGTCCTATCTCTGTGATTGGTTCAACGAACGTTTTGAAAAATCAATAGAATGTTATCGGCCTGTATTTTTGTGGAACTTTGCTCTAGAGCTCATTGTCGATGTCTCCACCGGCGTCGCTTACTTCGACGCCCGACGTCGGTTTTTCAACAGCGCATTCTATGAAAAATTTAGTTCAACCAAAAAAAAATCTAATGACACACTTTCATAACTTTTCACAGAGACCTTATAACGGAACAAAATATAATTGAACTACTTACCTATAGATGGCGCAACTTTGATTATAAATTTTCCGGACGTTTGCCCTACTGCACATGTATGTTTCTTTTCGAAATATACAGTGTGTTTCGAAAATAAAAGGTCATCCTGAAATTGTAGAAGCCATTGTCAGAAGCTTATTAAAGAAATTACAGATTGATAAATGTGCACTTGTGCAGTGCCAAAAACACATTTTAATGAACGAGTCCAAAATGGTTAAGATTCAAATATCAAAAATAAATTAATTACAGGTCTTTAGCCTAAGGATTGCAATAATCTCTTTATAGAAAAAAATTCTTTATTTTAAAAATACATATATCAAACCACGATTGACGAAAAAATTGTCAGTCTGCATTGTTTTTTCTAATGTTTATAAGAAATTTCTTCCTTAAAATGACTCCTCATTTCTAGATTCAGTTTGACGTCATATTTTAGAAGCACGTTATATACCATTCATTCGATTAAACACTATTTTGTGAATAAAATTACTGCTAGAATAGTTCAATTGCATTTTTCTAAACAAAACGCCTTAAATAAAATTTCGTTTGGTCTGTGTTAATAGAACGTCGTTTTAATTACCAATATTTTGTTATTGAAACAATGTTATTTTGTATAAATTTATTTATAATAAAACTTTATTACAAGGCAGTAAATAAATAATATATTTTTTTTCTGAAAATATATTTAGTAAATACAATTACTATTTTAACATATCACCACTTAATATATTCTCACTGTTACCTGGGTTTTCTTTTAAATTCTAATGTATCTAAATGGTGGTATATTAAAAAACTCCAACATAATAAATACTTTCAATTAACGCACATAAAATAATATTTTATTCATTAAACATCTATACATATATAATTCGACATACAGTACAGTACAAAAATACATTTATTTTTTATGAAGCTAGATATACTTATATAGGTATGCCAATAGTACAAGAATCATTATTTCATTTAATAGAAATATTAACGTAATAGAAAGATATGGAACACTGTTACTTGCCATAAAAAACATATCTAAATTCAATCACACTATTTAGAGTATGTGCAATAATAAAATATGAAAAAAGCAGCTTGGAAAAGTACCACTATATTGAAATATTTAAGGATGGTTAGTTAAGACGGAAATCACTTGGAAGAAATTATGCAATATACAAAGACTTATGGTGAGTTTATATGTTAAATATAACTGTTCATGACAATATTTTATAGCCAATCAGTTCTAGACGTTTACAACTCAATTTTGATGTGTGCATTTAGTAACGGGTGAGGTAGTGAAGCGCCATGGAACGTACATATCTTTGATTACACGTCATCAACAACCACAACAATCTAATATTGATTTTCTTTTGCATCCAACGTCATTCCGTGCACATATATTTGTAAAGATGAATATTGTAGAATGATATAGGTAGAAAATATGTACACTTTTAATTGGTTAGTTCTTAATCTATATTCAGTTATTTACAATTTTTATTTTCTCAAATAACATTAGTTACAAACACTAATGTTGATGATGTTGAAAAGTAATTACACATTTTTACAAAAGCCGAAGTAACACTTCACCAATGTCACTAGAAAAGTCACCTAAGATAAAATCAAAAAAATATATTGACCCACTATTCTTAAACAATAAACTCAGCATTAGTCATGAATCTTATACATGTATATTCAAACGTTTTTACTACCATATGAGGTGTCTTTTGTATATTCACAAGAAAAATTTGGAAGTTGTTACATCTGAATTTTTCTAAATTCACATATTTGGAAATTTAGACAATTAAGACGAAACAAATATTTTTATTACAGGAAAAATGTCAGTCATTTGAAGAATATAAACACTTAAATTACAAAAAATATATATACTGTCAAACTTCTGTAATTCAAACCATTATAATTAGAAATATTTCAATTCTTTCAAATTTGTTTTATTCTACATGTATTTTTCTATACCACGTTGGCCACATCTCGACTATAAAGCCTGCTACAATGAGAAAGGATGAAATTTATAAAGCAAATCAGTATGGTAAACAAAGAAAGTTATGTATTGCGTTGCTACCGAATGTCCCGAGAAACAGGCTCTGCCCAAACAATGTCAGATGTTTATTTCTTTCTGAACTATAATCCGGGGATAAACAAATGAGTATTTATTCTAACATGAAAGCAAGTTCTAATAATATTTCTAACTCGATTGCCTCCGAATTAGAGAATGTTATCTTTAACACAAATACTCGTTGGCCGATTTAGTCGGTTTGAGTTACAGAAATTCAACTGTACGAGGAAGTATATACAATCTCAATTTGATAAATTTTTTATATAAACGCTTATAAATTTTATATATTAAACTTACATATGTACACATTATATAAAATTATATCAAAAATTTAATTTTTTGCTTTAAAACTAGTATTTCTGCCAAACAGGTTCTGTTTGTATGAAACTTAAGCTTATTTCAACTATTATATTGAGGACACATTTATAAAATGTTGATAAAAGATGGTTTTCCAGAAATGATAGAGGAATATAAAGTGTCCAAATGATGGGTATTTAAGAAGCAACATTTTTGTTATTCAAAACAAACATGTGTATACAGTTTCATGATAGTAACATGACAACATGATTGAAAAACCATATTTTGTCTATGAAAAGTGACAAATTTTTTGAGAATGTAGAGTTAAATTTATATATGCAGGGTGATTCACAACTTATCCAAAAAAACTTGGGATAGATGTGCTATGAGAAATAGTCAATATTGTAAAAAAAATTTTGTAAAATCCTTATAATTTGTGAGAAAAAAATTATTGAAGTTAATATTTTCAACCTTTACATTGCTGGGCTACTATAGCGTCATTCGCCCACGTGGTCCCAAGCGATTCCGAATACTGGAATCCGATTTTAGTATTATCGTGTTGCGATAGTGGTTACATAGTTTTTCAAGTGTTATGGTGAAGCAAGACAACATTTGTTAGTCTGTAGAAACTGGGTAAGATGGGCCCAAATGTGTTTACACGTCGGTGGACCAAATTTTGAACAGTTGTAACATCACGTATGTCAAATTAATTTTATTAATTAATAATAACAATAGCAGCAAAATCAGTTGAATTTGCTGATATAAAAGTATATTTATTTCTTTCCTTGGGAAAGAAATTCGTTCAATTTTCGTCTCTTCATATTTTATTCGCTTTGCCGCCGCGCCGGTTGCCGACTGCATGCTTTGCCTTGCATAAGGTCAGGTTTTACAGTGGACCAGTTTCCAGTGCTATGCAGAAGTGTTTTTTAAATCATTTTCGAATTGCCCGTTTTGATTTTTTTTACAAAATTGTATTTGTAAGAGTCCCTTGTACATTAAAAAATTTTTTTTTGGGTAAGTTCCGAATCACTCAGTCACCCAGTACATATGTATTTTCCAGTTTTGGACAATTTAATGATTTTGTTTGGACAACTTTTCACTGAAAGGCTAAAACTATTACTTTTAACATAATTTTGTTGTTACAAATGGCATTATAATGGATTTAAAAATGTAAACTTAAAATCATTAAAAATAAAATTCCTTTCAATCAATTATCCATTAAAATATTGGTATACTAAAGGGCATGAAGCTAACATTTGATGATAAGATGTTTGTTAAATAAGAAAAAATTAAAAAATGTTTGTTAAATAAGAAAAAATTAAAAAATTAGCTTGTAAAAATTAGAGTAGAAAAAAATAAAAGTAAATAATTAATATAATAATGAAAAATTGTGTCTTCATTTGCGAGTTAGACCATAATTCCTTATCTAATGTTGTATTTACAATTATGGAATACCAAAAAATTAAAATAAATATGATAAAATGATAAAATTATAAATTAAAATTTTCAAGAAATTTATCACAGTAGTTTAAATAATATTGTAAGAAAAAATTTCTAATACAAATTGGTGGCAATATTTAGCAAAATATAAGTCACTGCAATTATATTAAATAAATTAAATCAAATTGTATGTCACTTTACATCCCTGTAATATATTAAATACTAAATATTTGTACTAAATTATAATTTCAGTAGTAGCAATTAATTTTAAGAAATTACATAATACACGAGTCTATGCAGAAAGTTAATTACTGCACTAGAATTCCCAAGAATGTTTGTGTTATATGAAATTCTATGTTCACAATATTCATAATATTCGTAAATGTTCTGTTTGTTATGTATTCGTAATATTCACCCACACACTATCAATTTCCAAATAAAATACACTGCAAATCTGGATCAATAAAAAGAGCCGCGTAGAGTGCTGCATAAAATCTTCACTTCTTACCTTGACTTATTAGTATTTTGTAATCTAGTCAACTTGCTTATTTTTATATAACCAGTAGCTGTATAATAGAGATCAAGTATCTGGAGGCGGTTTACCATTCCCTCCACACTGAACATTGGGAGATGAACTACGATCTCTACTATCCTGATCTTCCAGAAATCTATCCATAAAGTCGGTCAGGCCGGGATGTAAAGCATACTTCTTTTTTTCCAATCTTGCCTTATTTGCAAAAATATCGTGTCGCTCCGATTTTTTCCATAAGTAATAGAATTGAACTAATTCTCCCACTGATCTCGTCCGAACCTAAAACAACGTAATCTAGGCTTTATTTTCATTTGTCATGTTCTTACCTTATTCTGTTGAATGAGGTGGAAATTTTTTCCAAAGCAACGTACACCAGACTCAAAATTCCTACATTCCTCCTCAGACCAAAGGGACTCATTCATCGTTTCTGTGGCGTTAGTAGGAATCGTCATTCTTAATCGACGTAAAGCTTCATCTACATTATGTCCACATTGCTGGAGCAGATATAAGGCCTGTTCATCATCTCGAAGTTGAGTTCCCATCGGAATGGGGGGCTTGGTGATGGCAGAAGCTTTCTTCAAAAAATCTTCAACTGTTTCACCGCAGATTTCTAATGGATCCCATAGAAGTTTGTCTTCATTTTCATATGGAAGAGCATCATCATAATGACATAAACCTTCAGGAATCTGTGCTTGGTAATCACTACCAACCATAATCGTCTATAAAAAAAAAAATACACTCTAAAGAATGAAGGACCATGCACACAGTTAATGGAAATCGGCAACCTGTCAGATTGTCTGAAAATGAGATCTGTTAAGTTTGAGATGTCCTGATCAAGGCTCAAGATCCAAAAATGAATACTCATCGAGATAAGCGATATTGAAAGTAAGCGAGTCCCATAATCCCAAATATAAAATATTTCATTTTCGGACAATTTGACGGGTTGCCGATTTCCATTAATTGTGTGCGTGGTCCTTTCTTCATTAAATTTGTAATTATGATGACTAGTGCAGCTACTTTAAGTTATTACAAGTGAGCTTATTTTACTAATTATTAATTTATTAAATAAATTTAAATGTTTAAAATGGTGATTTTCAAACCTGTCATAGCATGGAATATTTTATAAAGTTAGGTGTCACAAAAAAGAGAATGTATGATAAATTTAACGCATGGATGATAATCAAAAAATAACCTTATTAACCTTTCGCCACTCGTCTTCATCTGGACTGTAGTCATAATCTTCCTCCTCTTCTTCACTAACTCTAGAGACAGCTACAGGATCATATTAATTATTTATTAAAACAAGTATATTTAAAGGACTTAAATGTAATGAGGTGTATTTAATGAAACTTACAACGTAATAATCGGGAGGCATCTTGGTCATTATCAGGGATTGGTTCATATAGTACCCTCAACTTGGAAGGTTGTTCTGGCGGTGAAGGTTCGCTTTCTTGTTCTTCCATTGGTTCCGACATTTCTGGACTTTCTTCTTCGTCGTCTTCTTCTTCTTCTGGACTTTCGTTTTCTTGATTTTCTCCTCGATAACCATACAAAGCTAGAAGCTCTTCCAGGGGCATGTTACTTTCCTAATAAAAAGGCTGTGTTTTAGTAAATAGATTAAGGTATGCATTTCAATGTAGACTAAATAAAAATTATATAATTAGTACAACTAACATGACCCCTTAGTTAATATTGTATTCTACAAGCATATATTAATTTTACGATACTACTTATTTAAGGAAGGAAGGATAAGGAACATCTGTAAATATTCTTCGTAAACTAACAATTTCTCTACGGATTAAATAATACGTGTTCATATTTAATATTTAAAAAAATACATTCACTTGGAAATTTCGTGTGTAAGACTTAATTTGTATGCTACACTTAAAACCTTTTTAAAGCCATTGACAAATATCAATTCTGTTTACATATCAATCACAGAACTCACATGAAAGTAATTAAAAAAAATGGTGAAAAATTTTAATTAGGTATAATATAGATTATTGAAAAGATTTGGTGATACACATTTAACAGCATGGAGTGGACGTTAATGTTACCATTAGTTCATCAAGGCATATAGAAGTTAATGCCAAATAAAATGTTATGTGTCATTATTAGTACCATTCAAAATGCCAATTATATTTACACTTTTCTTCGCACACAGAAATTAAAGTATATTAATGTTTAGGGAGTACAGTACATTCCGCATATTCTAATTTACAACGAAAATATAAAATGACTCACCATTTTTAGTGCTACAAAACAATTATGAATTAAATATATGACTTTCTTTTTTTATCTTACATATAATTTAGTAGGTACCTGAAGTATAGAAGTACGCAGATACAAAATTTCAATGCATGGCAACTGATAAGAAAATATTTAACAAATGCACAGATATATTCTACTCATAATCGGCACCTCCTAAATTATAAGAAACCTACCATTACTGCTATAATTAATAGATGTAATGATGCAACGCTGTATACAAATGACTGGAAAGGCAGTATGATCAATTCTAGTATTACTTACTTTAAGATGAGTTTTAGAATAATTAAAAAAGTTCTATATACCTTTTGTAAACTTGTTAGTTCTGCATTTGGATCTTGCGACTCTCCTGCTGCTAGGGCTTCTTCCTCTTCAAGTGTTCGCTCGTCATCAAAATCATTCACTAGCATATCAACCGAAGGGTCAAATAGTTTATCTTTAGTTGATGAATCGTTGTCTTTTCCATCTTTTTGATGTGAAACAACTTCTTCCATGTTACTACTTTGCATTCATAACTGTCAGTAACACCTTCTGCCCTTGAAAATTAACTATAGTAAAATAAATTCATTCATTGGCAATTGTTTTTCTGCACAAAAACTGTTTCCTTTAGATGACGTTAGTTGTCTATAGAATTATTTTATTCACTATAAGATCAAATCTGATTTTAATGAACTTTATACACCAAAGTGAGGTTATAAACATGGCAAAATAGGACCGACGTAAATAAGGCTTATTTACAAATCACACTACAGATAAAGCCATCACAAATGTTACTGAACGTATTTATAATATGTTTATTCTTGTTTTAATGTACTGTTTTTTAATTAAAAATATTCTGTCTTCAACTATATATTTTTTAGAAGACAAGACAAAACACCACATAAAACACTATAATACAAGTAATTACTATAGAACACAAATCACAGATGTTAAATTACAGTCCACAGAACCACAATGATAATAGCAGTGTTTTATGTACCTGTCATCTCAGTTAATACCAGCCTTATCTATGATACCAGCTATTCGGAAAGCTCATTGGTCAATTAGGTAGAAATTAACAAAAGCGCGTTGAAGTACAGTATAAAATTATCAACAATTCTAATAGATTAATTAATAGGAAAATTGTAATAAAATATTAGACAATTTCCTAAAATCATTGTGAAAAACTTCGAGAATATATTAGTAGTATATGCTCGAAGGTGAAAAATAGTAGACCGTGGTATGTTTTGTTCGCCAAAAATCGCTTATTTGAAATAAACATGACAAGCAATTCAACCAACCAAAAATTCAAAAGAAAAAATAATACTATATCATAGAAAATATAGTACTAACGTAGAATGAAATCTAACATTTGAATCATGGAGACTAGATAAGGAGCACGAACTCATACGGAAAAATTGACAAAATTTGTCCAAGAAATGGCAGAAGTTGGGGTGGCGCTAGTGTTCCATATGACCCAAATGAATGTAGCTTCATAAATACGAGTGAAGTAAGCAAATAACCAATTTTATTTTATTTATATCGAGTTTAGTAGATATATTGGGGAGCGGGGAGGTATACTAAACCTAAAAACTAGAAGTCAAGTCAATAATTATTACAATTTGTTTTTATAAATGGTAAATAGAAAGTTTCGAAAATAATTTAAATATGGTAATAGTATGTGAAGTGAATGACTGTCAACAGATTTAAAATAAAACAGTACGTTTGTGATTTGCATTTTCAATCTAATGATGTCCAGCTGTTCTATATTACAACTTGACCGAATAGTGGGTTAATATTATGGCAAAAGGTCGAATAATTCGGAAGTTGGAAGCAGCTTCTTTGATTCTTAATACGGTAGAGAAATTTTTAAATAGAAAGATTTCATAAGTGAAAATATTGTATAATTGAATGATGCATTGTTTCTTTATATATTTTGCAGCAGCATCAACAGCAAGAGCATCCGCTACACCAGCAACAACAGGTGCAGCAGCTACAACAAGAGCAACAGTTACAACAACAACAACAAGAACAGCAAGTGAATCAAGAGCAATTAAGTTACGATGAGATTATACTAGAAAGTGAGCATCCTGTCCTGTATAATCTAATAAAAGAAAAGTTCTGTTGACGTGTGATGAGGTCTCGACAAAGCAACTATGAATATGTTCACATAATATTGACAATAGCAACAAAGTATACTTTATTTATTTCTACATATTCTTGTAATTTATATTACGTGCATAAATAATTAAATTCGTATCTTTCATATAATTCTTGCTGGTGACATC